CTACGAACGTTTTGGTTTGCATTACGAACCTATAGTAGTAGTAAAATTCACACTTTTACCCTCTAAGCGTACGATTGGGCATTGACACACCTAAAAGTGCCTACAAGTACAAGTCGTGACACTTGCGTTTCCAGTGTACGTTTTTTATTGCGTCTACGTTTTGGCGTGTGCATAGCATAATACGGTGTTTGTTATCTGCCGTTCACTTTTTTATGTGGGTGACAAGTGAGTGACAATGCCATCAGAGACCAATCGGGTTCAACTCGGGGGTCAATATGCTAGCTCTGGAAGCCTGAACCGAAACCAGGGTGCAGATACAGCGACCAGAGGCTACGATGCATAGTAACCCTTGCGAACACGCGCACATTTGCCCAGCACAGGTTGGAAGACACGGCCGACTTAGCTTGGGCAGACCTAGGTGAGTGGCTCCAGTTCTCTGTGAACAAGTAGTTGTACGCCCGCCCGCATCGCCCGCATTATAGTTTGAAGATCAAGAACAAATAAGCATGTGGCAAGGTCGCGCACATTTGAAATAGCCTGGGGCCTGCGTGCGGTGCAAACACAACAACTACAATGAGTGCACGACGTGGCTCGGCGCATATCGTTGATTTGGGCTTCGTATAGTTTTGCTGGAAGTTACGAAGTTGAAGCAGTAGCTGAAAGTTGCCCGGCCCAGGGTCGTCGGACATGGTCCCGCCCAGGAGATTGGCGACTTGGCCCCGTGCTCTACCAAAGAGGTCCACTTGAGACATCACGAGATGCCGCTTACCTCTCGTTCGAGATCCTGGACCGTCTTGGACAGCACAGCAAAGTGCATCTTGAAACTCGGAGCTCATAGTCCAGGCAGGCCGGGGCTCTCCTTGCCCTCGTCGAGCCAACTTCGGGTCGGGAGGCCCGAGCTCGTGCCGTGTCTCTAGCCGTGGAGCTCACAATAAAGACGATCCTCGGAGCCAGACCAACGATACACTTAAGTGTAGGAATTCTTATAGCAAAGATAATTTCGAAAAACACACACATAATTTTTAGCGTTGCTTCTACTCTTTACCGTCGCGTTTAATGAGCAGAGGCTTCATGATGCCGACCGATTCACGATTGAAACGTGGATAATGGCATAGCTTGTGAGAGTAAACAACGTCAAAATACGCCAAAGAGGAGTAAAATTAAAATTCGATTTGCACACATGGCCGTGAAAAATTAATTTGATGGAGCAGCTTACAAAGTGACACTTATCTGGCTCTCGTGGTGGACCAAACAACGTCATATTAATCCCGGCCCACTTGTGAGGAGATTGTGCCCCGCGGTGGGCGGAGCAGTCGCGAGTCGGAGCAGAACGGAGAAAATAATGACTTATTATTATTTTCGGGGCCAGCAGCAGGTGACAAAAACACCAGCTGGCATGACATTAGGCAGGAGAGCTGAGAGAGAGAGAGAGGGGGGAGGGACACTCTCTCATCCCGAGAGCAGCAGCCGAAGGCGAAGCCAAAAGGCTTCGGCCGGCTCGGGTCTGGCCGGCTGCGCAAGGTCGCGCCACGCGACACAGCCGGCGGGCCGCCCATCTGCACATCTGTCTGTCTCTGTGTGCGCCGAGAGGAGAGCAGAGCTAACCGCCGCAATTTACGGTCGGGATCAGCAGGAGTATAATAGCAGCTGCAGCGGCGAGGAGCGCAGCTGCTATAGCGGCCGCTAGCTATTTTCGTGTGAAGTGTTCATTGACCCACTTCTGTTTTCGCTGCCGGGGCGCCCCCCCCCTCCCCCCGACCACCGTGTGTGTATGTGTGTGTGTGTGTTGTATTCGTCCGCTTCATTCACTAGCTGGCCTGCGGGCGGGAAGATGACATGATGATGGGCTGCAGGTACACTGTCGAGCACAAATGTTTCTAACAACCGTTTGCCAAAGGCGGTGGGGGAGAAAGGATTTGTGGCATGTATAGGTGGTTGTAGTTGTTATGGTTACCTCATAATTCCAACGATTTTGCTCGAGCTTCTCTACAATGTTTTTTGGGGTGAATATTACTTTAGTGTGTCCCTTAGTGCGTATAGTCTAAAATAGCTTGCTGTCTCTCCTCTCTCTATTTTTTTTGCGGGGGGGGGGGGTCTATCTTGCGTTTGAAGTACTTGCAGTTGTTTTTCACCGTTACAGCAACCGGTTCTTCTAAGTTAGCAATTTTTTTGGCCGATGTGTGGTGAGTGCGGAGCTGCGGGGAGGAGTCGTGACACGAGTCCTAAAGCCTCCTTTACCGTCCCACGCGCCTCGCGGGCTGCAAGCAGTGTGTAGTAGATGCAGCTGCGTGCGAAGGAAAAAGAGAGAGAGAGAGAGAGAGAGGCGGGGGTCGAATGCAAAACGTTCGCTACACTTGAAAGTGGGACACCGTCTCAGAGGACACAGCGACATAACCAGAATGTTGTTTTTGATAGCAACAAAACTTGCTTCTCATTGCCGGCTCTTGGGCCGGCGCGGTGCTTCATCCGCTGCACTATCACCGCCGGCCAGGCCCGGCCACTTGACTGGCCTCAAATCAAAGCGGCTCGGCTTAGGGCCGTGTCGGCGGCCAGGGCGGCGGCCAAGGCGACGGCCGCGCTCAACTCTTAAATCTCATAATCCAAGCCATCTTGGTCGGGACACTCCGCCACCGGCGATTAAGCAGAAGAGACGACGACCGCGCTTAACCGGCGGTACGGCCTCCAGCGCTTGCGGACACTGTCGCAAATGTTTGTTCGGGCTGCCGGGCCATCGGCTCCCCTTGCCCATTCATGTTGAGACGAGGCCTGGACCGGTCGGGTCGGGTCGGGCCGGGTCGGGCCACCCTCGGGCTCGGCAGCGGTCGGGCGGTCGCCGGCGACCCCGGGTCGGGGCTGGGCAGAGTCGCTGGTGGCGCCGCGCGCGGCGGCGGCGGCAACTATCAGCGAGCGCTGCCAGCTCGGGCGGGGCGCGGCGGCCGGCCTGACGCGCAGGCGCGTGGCGCGCACGGGCCGGCCTGCCTGCCAGCGCGGCTGCCCGCCCCCCGCAGAGCGAGAGAGACGGACGCGGGCCGCGGGGAGGACGCCGTCATGGAAGAGAAAGAGAGCGCCCCCTCTCTCCCTCCCGCCCTCCCTTTCTCTCTGTGCGGCCCACAGATGTCAGCTCCAAGCCCCTGCTGCCGCCGCGGCCGCCGCCGCTGCCGCCGCCCAGGCAGCCAGCCAGCCCGGCCCAGCGGCCAGCCGCGCAGGCAGGCAGGCAGGCGGGCGAGCCGGGAGCGAGTCGAGTGTGGAGCCCGCCGCCCGCCCGCCCGCTCAGTGCGCTGCGCCGAGCCGCGCTGGCCTGAGACACGGGAGTGCCTCCGTCCTGCCGTCCCGTCCGCGCCGCCCTAGAGCGCCGTGCTTGTCCGCCTAACCTCGCTTCGGCCGCGCCGTCGCGCCGCGACAGGGGCACAACTACAGTGAGAGGGAGCGAGAGGGGGCGACTCCAGCAAGGTGTGTGTGAAGTGTTGTCTGTGCCGTGACACCCCGTGACGTGCAGCTGGGGCCGCAGCCCTGGCCACAGCTCCCCCACGCCCAGCTGTGGTTGAGCAAGCAGCTGGAGAGGACGACCCCAGACAAAGGGAAAACCGGGCATCTAACGGGCAACTACCGGGCACCTACCGGGCAACTGCCGGGCAACTACCGGGCAACTCCGGGCAAGTCCCGGGCAACTCCGGGCAACTCCCGGGCAACTCCCGGGCAACTCCCGGGCAACTTCCGGGCAACACCTGGGCAACATCCGGGCAACGTTCGGGCAACTACAGAGCAACCACCGGGCAACCACCGGGCATCCACCAGGCAACCACTAAGCAAGCCTCGACTGGTGATACTAGCATGGTGCCCGGGAGCTGTTTGGCTGCTTGGGTCGGCACCACACAGCGTGTGAGGGCAACCGTCGTGCAATCGTCAGCGTGATCTGAACAGCCTTGTGGAGACCGGGGAGGCCACGGGCTCGCCGCTCTGTTGGGCGGGCGGCCTACGTCGCCCCTGCTGCTGAGGCAACCGCGGCGGGGGTCGGCGTACCCTCGACGATCTGCTACTCTGTGTGGACCAGCTGGCTGTTCAGACATGGTGTTCACTGGGGTGCGACGGGGGGGCATGGGCATGAGCCGCGGAGAGGGGTGGTGGGGGGGGGGGGCAGGAGAAGGGAGCCCCGCGTGGTCCCGCGGCTAGCCCCTGCCGTCACACTTCAGGTTTGTATGACCTCTACGATTAAGACAAGGACCGTCCTCCCATGCCCGACAGTTGCCCACGCCGTGGGCTGCCGGCCCTAGTTATGAGCCGTGAAGTGTCTGCCACCGGGCAACACGCTTGTATCACCAGGTGAGGCTTGCTTAGCGGTTGCCTGGTGGTTGCCCGCTGGTTGCTCGGTAGTTGCCTGGTAGTTGCCAGTATGTTGCCCGGTAGTTGCCCGGACGTTGCCCGGTAGTTGCCCGGATGTTGCCCGGGAGTTGCCCGGAGTTGCCCGGGAGTTGCCCGGAGTTGCCCGGGAGTTGCCCGGAGTTGCCCGGTAGTTGCCCGGTAGTTGCCCGGTAGGTGCCCGATAGTTGCCCGCCAGACGCCCGGTTTTCCCTTTGTCTGGGGGAGCCCCTCCCGCCCAGCCGGGGGGAGGGGGAGGGGGCACCGCCCGCCGTTGCGTGAGCCCGTGCGTGCGCGCGTGCGTGCATGGGCGTGCGTGCAAAGTGAAAGGGTGCCAAAGTGTGTCGGGCGAGCGGAGTTAAGTGGATCGTGTTGAATTCAGCTGCAGCACGTTCAGCGTCTGCGCTCGTGCAGCTGTGTGCTCGCAGCTGCGTCCGTGCAGCGGCAGGGTGTTCCAAGCCCACCTGTGCGAACGTCACGTTTGGTGGTGACAAGTGCGTCAAGAAACGTGCTGGAACGTTGGGTGCGCGCAGTTGTGCGTGCACCTGTGAGTGCAGCTGTCCCATTTCGGCGAGTGGGTGGAAAACACCTGCCTATCGAGTCTGCCACCCTGCCGCCTCGCCTTATCAAATCAAATCAGCAGGTGAGTCAGGACATCCACGCTCGCAGTTTTGACAGATATGGGTGACCGGACTCCTCGAGTCCTCGGAATCAGGCGAGGGGGCTGTGGGCCCCGGCCTGGCGCTACAGCGAGGGCGCTTGCGAGAGGCCAGGTCCAGAGGTGTGAACGCGGGCGCGGGATCTTGCGATTCGGATCCGAAAGTGGATCCGCTGTGTCATTGCCCCCGTCCATGACATAACCTCATTTGTCGGGCTTTGGCCTGCCCGCCGACAAGTCGAACGCGCCCGCCTCGCACCTCTGGGCGCTCGATTCCATCCCGGTTGTCCGCCTATCAAAAGTGCACGTGGTTCTGACACACCGCGTGCGCCAGCGCGTGCAGGCTCGCAGGCCACCATAACAATATACAGGGAGACATCACCGTAACGTCTTTGATTAAACGCTGATCGCGACGGCAGTGCTGGCTGTGCCAGTGGTGGCGCTACTCCTGCGGGGAATGCCCTGGGCGCGCGCTGCACTCCTGAAGGGGCCGCTGACCCCGCCCCGCCCCGCTGCCACGCTATTTCTCAA